AAGGTGTGCTTCCACATATGGACAGTCCATCCTCCAGTTTGGGAATACTCTTGGATTCCTGGCTGGTTACATGCTCCCACATAGCAGTGCCCTCGAGTAATGCTTTGGCTAGGAAACAGTCCTGTCCTGGCAGATGATGAACTGGCCGCAGTTATTTGTGCCTTCATCACTCTTTGGCTGGGTTACAGGAATACGAGATACCTGGGCATGAAGCCTTTAGTGCTTAGGAAAATAGCTTGTGCAGAATGTCGCAGCATGTGCTTGTGCTAAATTGTGTTACTGGGAAAACATCAGGCTTGCCCTTTATTTTCTGTGCCACCTTACCATATAGTCTCTGTAAATTGCTTTTAGGATCTTGGCCCTTTTAGGTGACAAACATTCTATTCTTGGAACTGGCCAGGAATTGGAAAAGAGAGGAGCATAGAATGAAATTGCCAAAAGAGTGGGGACCCCCCGAGGCAAATAGCTGAAAGAATGCTCCCTCCCTGCCCCCTCAAGCCAAATTGTCAAAAGAGCAGGGTCGCTGGAATGAAATTGCCCAAAGAGTGGTGCCCCCGGAACAAAATCATCCTCTGAAAGATTGTAAGGTATCTCAAGAATTTATACTGATCTCGGTTAACACCTAGAAGAATTTAGAGGGTTTGAGGTTATCCTACTTTTCACTCTTACTGTAAGCCCTTTCCTCTGACTTTAATGTCTCTAGAAATAACCTGTAAATTTCTGTTGAAGCAAGACATTCTGTAGAATGCATGTCTCCCGGCTTTCCTGCCGAGAGCAAGTGTGGTGGCTGAGTAGCTTTGTTACTACAGCGGAAGAAAGATACAGTGTAGTATGTAAAGCTGTAGAACTAGAGAGTGAAGGTCACTCGCTACTCTTTCAGTAGTTTTAACAGTCTTCCACCCCAGGCAAGTGTGGAAGACAGTGCGAAGGGTGTGCACTACTGCCAGTGGTGTGATGTATCACTCCTCTGACACTCGGAGGCTTTTGATAGAGGCTCTAGAAATGACTTACATTTCCATTTGCAGACTCGTGCTTAAGGCTAGTAAGGCTGTCAAACCAGCTCTGGGAGAATGTATTAAGCCAGTGTTAGTTTTGAGTTGCTTTGAGTCATGAAATGTTTGTTTGTTTTTTTGTGTTTTGTTTTTTGTTTTTTTTTTTTTTAATGCATTGCTGAATTAACCCATGATATCCCTTGAGATAACAGCATCCTAGTAGAAGAGAAAGTTTATATACTGAGCACTCTAGAAGCCATTGAAATCCCTTTTGAATAATTAGTTCCTATGGAAAAGTAAATTCTATGGGCGTGGAGCTCAGACCACCTAAAAATTAAGGATGGTCTCTGTAGTAGGAAGCTAGTGCAAACATTTACAAGGTAAGGAAATTCTGTTGTTTAGAAGTATTGTCTATGTCTGTCAGGGGTTCATATCCTCATATTTCTGATGATGTGCATACCTAAAAAAATAAGAAGCAGATGAGCATGGTGAACCTAATTGCCTTCCGCTTCATGAAATACCCATGACTTTCTGCAATAGCTTGCTGCTTGTGCTCAGGATCTTCCAAGATCTGGCTGAAACCACATTATCAACAAGTGCTATTTCAGTGCTAAATCCTGGAAAGTTACAGTTAAACTGAAAAGAAATTCAAATACTTTAAGCTCTGGAAATACGTTTCTTTTTTTTTTCTCCTTTGTTTCTCCTACCTGCATATTTAGGGATAGATTTAATCTGATGAGTATCTTCATGGGTTTGCTAGTCTAGTTCTTCAGAGTGCTAGTTCTACAGTGGCTACCAAGTGAGGGCAGTAGTGTCTTCATTTTCACTGAGAAATTAGAATTTTAATATTTTTTTTTCAGTCCTTTCTAAAGGAAGGAATTTTTGTTTGTAACTTGTTAGATATCCTGGTATAGTTCAGCTTCTGAACTACAGAAAGTAATAGGGAACGGATGAAGAGATATGACAATAAAGCTAACTGGGGGTGTATTCTTTTCTGGACATTAACTTAATTGCACAGCCAGATGCTCCAAATTCCCCTCCCTCCTTCCCTCCTCCATTTTTTCCTGAGCACTACCTTCCCTTTCCTGCTTTGGGTCTTTCTCCAAATCTACTCTTCTTTTCTTGCAACTAACCCTGCTCTTCTCTGTACTTTCTTTCCTTCTTGCCAGGGCTTCTTATTATATTGTATGTCTGACTTCCCTTTTACACTTTCTTTACCCCTTTTCTCTCTTTAAGACATTGGCATCTTGTGGTATAGGAGGATGGTCAGAATGAAAAAGGTTCGGGTTTTTGTTTGGGTTTGTGTTTTTTTCCTTGTTAGTTTGTTTTGTGTGTTTTGGGTGTTTTTTGGTTTTGTTTTTTTTTTTTTTTTGAGCTAGAACATGCTCGCTGTTATGGGTTGTAGTGATTAACAGTGGCTTATGCTGGTCATTCTCCCAACTAGATGGCCTGGATTCTTCCCTCAATCTTTTGATTTATATATTTTTCTCCAAAGTCTGAGGCCTAAAATATACATTGAAACAGGAATTGTTTACATGCAGAGTAAGAGAAATATTGCAGTTGAACTAGACAATCCTTTTAGGTCCTTTCCAACTATAACTGTTCTGTGACATTAATACAACTTTTTGGCATGCCCATGGCTTGATGTCACCACAAGTAGTATTATACTCTGCTTAATGCTTGATTCATTTTTTTTTTTTTCTTTTAAGATTTTTTGTGGCCTGCTCCTAAAATGGAGTCACTACCCTCTTTCTGTCCTGACTGCATCCTAACACTCTTACGTCTGAAAAAGGGTGTACCTGCATCTGATTGAAAGTTAATTGGTATCTTTCTGTATTTGCTTAAGTGGCTGTTCAGTCAGATCTGTGAAGTGACCTGACTTGCCTGTGGCTATGTAATTTATGGAGCAGATTGAGTAGCTGGAGTGTGCAGCTGAGTGGGTGATGAGCTTTCACCTGCAGTGCATCCTTAGATTGACAAAGGCTGATGGTGCAACTACACGTTTTAGAAAACAACTTTTGCACAAGATGTAATTGTAAACATTTTAAATTGGTACAGCTATCAAGAATAAGTCCTGCACTCTTCCTGGCTGTTGTTTCCATTCTCATGTTGACCCTTTCATTTCTTGTCACAGGTACATATAATAAGTTCTTATCACTGCACAGTGCAAACTGGAATGGATGGGTAGCATGGGCAACTGTACTAGCAGGTGATTATAGGAAGTTTTTTCGCTTCCCCCAGAAGCTTACATTTTTTCAGCATTCATTCAATCTCCTCTTAGAGGTGTGCTATTGATAAGATTACTATTTAAATTGCTTCAGTGCAATTTTGAGCTATATTCCTGTGGTCATTTAGGGGCTTGTGATGTCCATTGTATTGTGTTACCACAAGCATTTCTGTACTCATGCAGTGAGCTAGTCTGATAAATAGCTCGGCACAAAAGGCTGGTTTTAGATGGCTTCTGTGCAGGACAGATACTCTTGTGCTCGTATTTTGCAGGTAAAATGAAGGGGATAGTTGAGGAAAGAGAGTAGAGATAGCTTAAGTCTGTGTAGCCACTGTGGGGGGTGAAGCTTATCAAGTTACAGCTTTGTAGCTGGATCAGGGAGTTGATCTACCTTTGTCCTTTCATACCCTTCTTGCACCATAGAATCACAGAATGGTTAGGGTTGGAAAGGACCTTAAGATCATCTAGTTCCAGCCCCCCCTGCTACCTCACACTAAACCATGTCACCCAAGGCATTGTCCAACCTGGCCCTGAACACTGCCATCCCTCAACACACTCATGCAAAACCTCTACCTCTAGCCCTCCCAAAAATAAACAACCAAAACCCAACCAAATCAAACAACAAAAACCATAAAACCAACAAAAAAGCCCCCAAAACCACCACCAACAAAATCAACAACAAACAAACAAAAAGAAACAAACCAAAGAAAAAACCCAAACAAACCCCAACCAAAAAAAAAGCCCCGAAACAAAAAAATCCGTCAACTACCTTACATATCAAAATCCTGGGCTGTTTTTCAGTTGGATCAATTTATTGACTCATTTTAACACAAACATCCATGATGTTAGTGTATGGCTAAGGGAGTGGTGATGGGGTACTTGGTTACAGTACAGGTAATACCTTTCAATCAGGAGATCACCACTGTTTCCATAATAAATAGGCTGACTTAACTGTGGTATTGTTGGCTGTAACAGGGTTCATATGGACACTAAATAAGCTTGTAGCAGTGTCTTGTTACTGATTCCAATCTTCCCTACAGTCCATTTCCTTGTACACAGCTAGGTGACATTTTTGAGATATGGAAAGGCTGCGTAGTCCCTGAGAATGACAGCACCTTGGAGTAGATGCTGCCTTGTTGGACAAATTGGTTTGGCCTTCAAGTTCTACCTAGTTTCCTGGGTGCCTTTTGAGAAAGAGGATTGGCTGTTGTAGGCTGGTGTGTAGTTGTTGGTGATAGAAATATGTTCCCAGCCTCAGCCTTTCTTAAGGTATCTTTGGAGTACACAAGAACTGAGCCATGCTTGTATGAGACTTCAGGAAATATTGACTGCATATGTAGTAGGATTGCTCTGAATGTATACATTTCCCAGGACCAGTGGATCTTACATATTCATGGTAGGTCCTATTGTGAAATTGAAGGAACTGTGACACTGACTGTCTAAAGTGAAGTGGCATGTTTGGCCAGAATGGCTGAGGACCATAAATCTAAGCAGTTGAGAAAAAAATGTGCCTATCGTGTACACAGTTAGGCTGTAAAAACTCTAAGGACAACGAATAGAGCTACCTGCTCTAAGACTCTGGAAAAAAGATTAAATGCACCTGGATGTGGCCCTTAAGAATAAACTGTGGGGTTTCTTTGTGAGGGAAGGTTGCATTTGATGAAGTCTCATTCCACACATTCTCTCCCTAGCTGCTGCTGTTGAGTTGTCCGTGTAATAGGCTGTATTTAGCAAGGCTGTCACTTGTTCAAGAAATACTGAGAATCTTTATCCCTCTGCAGGTTTGCAACAGTGAGGTATGACCAGGCATCCAAGAACATTAAAAACCAGTTCATGCACCTGACCAATTACAGTGTCAACAAGAAGAGTGGAGATTATGTCAGGTACTTGGCTGGAAAATGGAACTTGATCTTTAGAGGTTGGGTCAATTTACGTAGGTTGGTCTAAGGCTGATGCAAGTCTCTAAAGGAAGGTCAGTGGTGTCAACCTGCTTCTTTCACTTACTTTTAGCTGTGATGATCCTGAGGTAGAGGATTATGGAAGCAAGTGGAGCATGAGTGCAATGCTGAGGTACTTAAAACAAGAGGGGAAAGACACTGCAGGTCAGTACAGATCTTGTTCTTTTATTCCTTTGTTGGATCTTAATCATCTCACTAGTGTGAATCCTAAGTCAGGGAAGAGCAAAGTGGGTCCCATTTAGCACCAGAGCAGGGTGGAGGGAAGCATTGTCCTTTGCAGCTTACTTACTAGAGCTGTGCATTTATTCTCTATCCCCAGAGATGAGGCCTTTCCCTTCCCTTTAGCAAATAATATTCTGAGACTTTCTCAGGGTGTGTTTCTTAATATTTTACCTACATTTCCCGTTTCTTAAGGTCATTCCATTCCTTCTAAAAGCTTCCCTCCCACTACTGCTCCCATGGCCTGTTCAGTCTGATGAGTGACCAACCTCTGGAGAACTGTGCCAGTTTGAATGACTCTTGGATGTGGTGTCATCTTTCCATGGCTCAGGTTTTTGCTGGGTGTTTTCATTTCAGTCTGTGTTTCATATAAAACAGCTCCCTCTTCCACACCTTTGCCAGGTCTGCTGGGAGTAAGTACATCTGCAGAGCAGAATCCAGGTATATCCTTTAAGGGATAAATTACCTGTGATACCAAGGCATCAGTAATGCTACTGACAGCAACTATGCCCATGTTGCAGATGTTGCCAGGGGACAATTAGATGTTGGATGAAGGGGGTTTTAATCTGGCTTTTGGATGGGAATAGGTTTTTTTTTTTTTTCCCCATCCTGTGTGTGCATGGCTGTCTGATCACTTGCACCGTATGTTTTTGTTAAGCTATGTATGCATAGTTATTTATATTGATACATTTCCAGACCCCAACCTAAAGTATAGATATGCATTCTTAAAAATTAAGTAAACTACTGAGCAATGCAAGCAGGTTTCTCTATCTGTTACAAGGCATCTTGCACCTTTCTCTGATGCATCTGGTTCTGGTCCTAAGGAGGCAGAATGCTGGCTGGGAAATGCTGGCCTTGTCTGGGCTGGCAAGATTTTTGTGCTCTGGGATGTGTATGTGCACTTAGACATTCCCATGCTGTATTGCTTCCATTTAGTTGTCTTCTGGCACAGAAGCTCACATCTGAATTTGCTTGCAAGGTCTGCTGTAATTTTCAGGTCCCTGCTTGTCATCATCTGAACATGAGAAAAAGTAATCGTAGGCCTTAATTGAACTCTCTAGTCAAGTGGTTTGTGCTGGATGTTCTTTGGAACAGGGATTACCAAATGTCTGTGTGGTTTTGCTGGAGGTCTTTGCTTGAACCTCCCTTTGAGACATGTCCTATGCTCTCTATTAACTTTTCAGACCAGGGCTCCAGTGTTCTTTCATCCCCTCTTCCTCTATTGCTTGTCCTTGAAAACAGAAAGTAAGTGTCTCAAGTCCAAACCGAGTCTAGAATCGAGGTCTACATCTAGCATGCATCCTTTCTTGCCTTTTGCTCCCTCTGTCAGGTCAGATTCTTGTTCCTGAGCTGTGTTTAGACTCATAAAGGACGTGAAGAGAGCTCCTTTACTGCAACTGCAGATTATCTATGGGTCGGCAGGACTGGGAGCTGTCACCAGGCATATAATTTTGAAATTATTTGTGAATCGTGGTATGGGAACAGCTGCTTTAGAGGAAGGTGCAATCACAGAACAGTTATCTCCTCAAAGTCCACAAGAAAAATATCTGTATTTCAGTGCCTGTGACTTGGCTTCTGTAATTTAAGGGCTTATCTCACTGCCTCGCTCTTGTTTAATCCTTCCTAATACTCTGAGTGGGCGATGATCAGACTCCAGCTGACTTGTGCTTATGTGCTTGCCACATGTTTCTGCTTACTTGTACTGTACGTATACTCATTTCTGTCATTCTCATTTGTATTTTTGCACTAGGATACTTATGCATGTATCTATATACTTATGCTTGCATGGATTTCCAAGCATGTTATCTTTTGCTTCCATAAGCTCTCACATGCTTTGATTCACAAAGGTATCTGTCCATACGCATATTCTCATACTTTTTAGATATTGTGTGTTACTTCACAATTTTTTTAATTATTTGTTTTTATTTTTTTTATTTTGTTGTTTGTTTTTTTTTCTCCTTCCCTTCTTGCAGCACTGATGGCTAGTGTGGAGGACCTGATTATCAAGACTGTGATTTCTGCTGAGCTGGCCATTGCCACAGCTTGTAAACATTTTGTTTCACATCGTGACACCTGCTTTGGTAAGGTACTGGGGGCATCTTTGTTGATTGGCTCTTAAGTACTGTTTGAAACTTCCAGCTTTCTGATGCTGCAAGGAAACATATATTCCCTATTGCAAGGAAGCCAGTTAGTTTTGTTTTGGTTGGTTTTTTTTTGTGGGTTCCCCCCCCCTTCCCCCTCAGTATGGGCCTCTGTTAGGGCAGGGGACATAGAGTCTCTGTTGCCCCGGTGCCAGTGTCATTCATCAGAATCTCCTGCTAGAAAGTGTGATGGTAAAGGACTTGAAAGGGAGCTGGGGAAATGCTGGAAAGTTGAAGTTTGTGACACCCTAATGGCCTTTAAAAGGATGGCTGTCCGTTATTAAATATCTCTTTAGACCATTTAATATTGTCTGTTGAGCGATCTAGCCCAATGTAGTTCTGAACTGTTGTCCTACATGCATCTGAGGACTAGGGAGGAATGTGTGAAGCAGTCCCTGGAATGAGTGGTGGTGGTGGTATTTCTGGGCTTGTGTTTGTGTGAGAGTACCGCATGGTGGCGTCAAAGCCTATTTCTGGCAGAAGCTGGGCGCAGAACTACGTGCTGGCAAGCGGATTTGAGAACTCACTGGCAGCAGATGCTGGGACAAGGTCCAGAAATCAGTGGCTGGTACCACAGTGTGCCTTCTCCCGCTTTCCCGTGGCTCCTTCCCAGCCTTTCCTAAAGAGGCCTCCTCCTGCTCAAACTGCCCTTTGCTCGTGTGGATACACTCAGTCTTGGGGCAGGGAAAATGAGTCTAGGATTAGTCTCGGTCAGTGCTTAAACCAAAGACCAAGCTTGGCTTAAGGTATGCTGTGTTTAGGTACTGGGACTTGCATTTAAAGCTGCTGTGATGGGTAAATTCATTTGTGTGGTCCCTGCATTGCACTTGGGTATTAACAATTCTGCAGCTTTCAACATGCTTAACATAAATGCTGTCATCTTTGGATATTTAGGGTGATGAGACAGTAATAAAGGAGGAGCCAGGGCTAATATGTTTCTTAGTTACCTGCCAAACTAGCTACCTCTCTGGCCTTAGATTCTCTTGACTGACTCTGATGCCTTTGTTCTAGGTGGAGAACTTTGGTGTACATGGAGATTTATGAGTTAGCTTTAGTGAAATTTATCAGCTACTCCAGAAATATCAACTACTGGGTTAAAAAAAAAAAGGCACATCAAAAAACTGTAACTGCCCCCCCCTTTATTTTTTATTCTTCCTTTTCTTCCCTCAGATGTGTTTCTAGATTCCTCTGAGCTATGTATGTGGAAACTAATGTTCCTCATGTACTTTCTGCTGTGCCTGGCTCTGAGGTTATCCCACTTCCTGCTGCCTCCCCAGGGCTGCACTAACCACCCTCTCAGATGCTCCCCCACAAATAAACTGTTTTGTTCCATTTATTTCAGTGTAAACACAAATTAAGAGCTTCCCAGGAAAGAGAGCTTAAGTAAGAGCCATACTGCTTCCCTAGAGAGCCTGAGGCATTTCCAGAGCTCAGTACTTTCTGTCACCTTCCCCCACAATTAAGTGGTGGTCCTTGTCCCAAGGATTTGAACAGCCTTTGTCATGCTGTATGGGTCATTCTTCATCCTGTGTCTTGTTCTGACACTCTTTGCTTGTGCCACTTTTAACCTTGTTGTAAAAAAAAGACAGTTCTTCTAGCTGGAAGTCTTCAGAATGGCTGAGTTTATAGCTGTTAACATGAGGGAGAAAACTAGGAATGAAGATTGCAAGACAGCATGTAGAGGCTCCCAAGAGTGCTTTTTGGTTTTGGCTTTTTTTTTTTTTTTTTTTCTGGGCTGTGAACAATGAAACCACATGTGTGTGCTGAGAGAGACTGATCATTTGAAAAGTATCTGAGACTTCAGAAACATGGATCTGAGATTCAGATATAGAGGTAGACGTTGTTTGGGAAGCTTCTAGAAAAATGTGACTAACTGAATGTGCATTCTGCTCTACTCTTTTTAATGCTGTTCTGGGAATAGGACCCCAGCACAATTGCCACCATTCTTGCAAAAAATTAAATCACAAATACTTATTTCCTAGGTTTCCCACTTTATCTCTGTAACTGTTTAGCAATCCTCTGGTTCTTCATTCCTTTCCCAAGTATATTTTGTTTTAATGTAATATACTTGCTTTCTAGATTTAAGGGAAGAGACTCAATTCATGGCTGCTTCATGCTCCAAAATAAGACTGGTGAGACAGTCTGTATAGTTCCAAATACTCATGCTTGCCTAGGAAGCGAGAGGATGCTGCTTTTTCTCATGTCAAAGCAGAGTGCTGCTGATAATTTGTGATAAGATTGTAGTGAGTCCCCTTTTGGCCATGTCATGTGAGCCACTTACTGCAATCTAGTAATAAGCACTCCTCGGAGGACTTGGAATGCTCAGTAGTTTTGTTCCTCTGAAGTGGTGTATTTACACAAAGCAGTATAAGTACTACGTTTTGTTGCAGCCTTGTTATTAATGTTGTGGTCTCAAGCCTCTGCTTTGTGCTTTATGATTAGCTAATAATTCCTCATGTTAAATTAAGCCCCAAGTAAAAACTGTCTTAGAATCACAGAATGGTTTTGGTTAAAAAGGATCTCAAGATCATCTAGTTCCAACCCCCCTGCCATGGACAGGAACACCTCCAACTAGACCAGGTTGCTCAAGGCCCTGTCCACCCTGGCCTTGAAGACTGCCAAGGATGGAGCATTTACTACTCTGGACAACCTGTTCCAGTGCCTCATCACCCTCACAGTAAACAACTTCTTTCTTATATCTAACCTAAGCTTCCTCTATTTAAGTTTGAACTCATTACCCCTTATCACTAGAGTCCCTCTCCAGCATCCTTGTAGGCTCCCTTCAGATTCTGGAAGGCTGCTGAGGGCACTTCAATCCCAATGGTCATGTTGCCAAGAAAGATGTTGAATGAGATTGGTCCTAACACTGACCCCTGAGTGACTCTACTCATTACTGGTCTCCACCTGGACATTGAGCCGTTGACTGCAATTCTCTGCATGCAGCCATCCAGCTAATTCCTTATCCACCGGGTGGTCTATCCATCAAATCGATGACTCTCCAATTTGGAGACAAGGATGATTCTGTGATGTTGTGTGGGACAGTGTCACATGCTTTGCACAAGTCCGGGTAGACAGTATCGGTTTCTCTGCCCTGTCTGTCATTTCTGTAGCCCCATCATAGAAGGCCACCAAATTGGTCAGGCATGATTTCCCCTTAGTGAAGCCATGTTGGCTGTCACCAACCATCTCACTGTTTTTCATGTGCCTTGGCATGCTTTCCAGGAGAATGTGCTCCAAGATTTTGCCAGGCACAGAGGTGAGACTGACTGGTCTTGTAGTTCCCTGGGTCATCCATTTTCCCCATCTTGAAGTGGGGGTTACATTTCCCTTTTTCCAGTAGTCAAGAACCTGACTGCCATAATTTTTCAAATATGATGGAAAGTGGTTTAGGAGCTTCATCTGCCAGCTCCCTTGGGACCTATGGATGTATTTCCTTGGGTCCCATGGGTTTGTGCACATTCAGTTTCTGAAGTTGATCTCTAACCCGATCCTCTCCTGTGGTGGACTTAAGGCCTTCACTCTCCCAGCCCCTACATGGCGTTTGTGGCTTGAGCAGTGTGGCTAGAGCACTTACCAATGAAGACTGAGGCAAAGAAGTCATTGAGAGCCTCAGCCTTCTCCAAATCCAGGGTAGCCATGGCTCCTTCCGGAGAGGGCTCACAATATCCCTAGTCTTTCTTTTGGCAGCAACATACCTATAGAAGCCCTTCCTGTTATCTTTGACATCCCTGGCCAGACTCAATTCTATCTGGGCTTTAGCTTTCCTGATCTGATTGCTAGCGTCCTGGGCAATATCCCTATATTTCTCCCAGGCTGCCTGCCCTCACTTCCACCTTTTGTAAGCTTCCTTTTTTCTTCCGAATTTGCTCAGAAGCTCGTTCTCCACCCATGGAGGCCTCCTGGCATTTCTGCCTCATTTCCTTCTTGTCAGGATGCATTGCTCCTGAGCTTGGAGTAAGTGATCCTTAAATATCAGCCAGCATTTTTAGGCACCCCTGCCCTCCAGGCTCTATCCCACGGGACCCTACTGAGCAGGTCCCTGAGGAGGTCAATGTCTGTTCTCTTGCTGCTTGCCCTTTTCACTGCCCTGGGGATCTTGAATTCCACCATATTGTGATCACTGCAGCCAAGGTCGCCCTGGAGCATCACATTCCCCATGAGCCCTACCCTGTTCGTAAGCACAAGGTCTAACATGGCACCTCTCCTTGTTGGCTTTTCTTTCTCTTGCATGAGGAAGTTGTCATCAGCCCATTCAAGAGAACCTCCTGGATTGCTCGAGCGCTACTGTGCTGTCTCTCCAACAGATACCAGCGTGGTTTAAGTCCTCCATGAGGACCAGGACCTGCAAGCATGAAGCTGCTCCCATTTGCTTATAGAGGGTGCTATCCACACTGTTTTCCTGATTGTGTGGCCTATTGCTAGTGTCCAGTATAGCACTGTTTTCTGTAATCACTGAAGCATGAGCCTGAAGAAGCTGTAGATCTAAGTCCCCAGTTTCATTCCCAGCTCTAGTCAACCCAGCCATAACACTCTTGAACTCTTCTGAAATCAAGACAGCAGGACAGGATAGGATAATAGTCATGCTGATCCCACAGAAGCAATGAGTTTTTTGCTTAGCTACTCTGGACTTATGCTTCTAATCACATCTACATTAAGATGGTGTAGAGCAAACCATAAATTATTGTACTACTAGAGTGCTGACCTGGACCTAAAGCTTAAATAAAGTCTTCATTTGTATGTAATCACCAGTTCTCAACCATCTGCTTCTGCTGTTCATCAGCATTGAATTTTCTTAGTAGTAGCAATTGGCCTGTTTGGGGGAATGGCCTGTTCCATAATGAATTTTGCAGGGCACTAGAATTTGACATACTTAAGGAATTTCTATGCAGACTTGCTTGACATGAGTGTAGGTAAATATCTGCTTAAAGACTTACATCACC